AAAATAATTAACATAAAAAGGAGGCAAAATTCACATAATATATAATCAACGATTTTAAAGTATACTAAGTAGTCACTTATGCACTATTAAGTACTCAAAAAGTACCGCACTAAATACCATCAGGTTCAGATCCTATCCGGTTCAGACATCAACACTAGGACAAAGGCATAAGTCCTACCCACAGAGGAGCACTTTCAGCTGTCCCCTCTGGCCTTTTCTCTGTAGATGGATCATTTCATTGAGCAGCTAAGATCAAACTCATATTTACTTTTCCCCAAGTTCTCTTATTTAAAAAGTTAACTACATAGAAAAGTTGAATGTCTAATGTCATGAACACCCACATATCAATTGAAGATGGAGCTATATAATGTGTGTGTGTGTGTGTGGTTCCATTCTAACAGACAGAATTTTTCCCAGCGTAGGAGCTAGAAGTCTGAATTCACGATGCCAGCTCTAGAGCAAGGTTTTCTCCTTCTGTCAGTTGGGGTGGGGGGGGGAAGTAATCGGGTTATTTTTAAATCATTTCCTATAATAAGCAATACTCAATGAATAAATTTACACCAAACATCTTAAACTTAGAATCCGAAAACTAGAGTTCCTTGGAACACAGAAAAATTACAGCAAGGAAGAGTCTGCCAGAACTTTGACCTTCACGCAGTAAGCTGAGGAGTAAGAATGTGAACACACTCTTAGAGGTCATCTGCCCCAACCCCCTTGTTTTAATGAGTAAACTGAGGGCCAGAGCGATCTGGGTCTGCCTAAGATCACATATCAAGGTAATGGCAGAACCGTGCAGGAATCCCAGACCATTGCACCATCCCCTCCCCAGGGCCAGTACCTTCCCAGGTTTCACATCTGAAACCGGTGGCATTTCGTACACAACATTGTGAGTACACTAAATATTACAGAACTGACCACTGAGTATCACTGAATTGTATACTTTAAGATAGTTGATTATATGTTATGTGAATTTTACCTCATTTAGAAAGAGAGCAATGATGTAACTGGACTAACTCCCTAGGGTACCTGATGAGTTTGAGAAGGATGAGCAGCCATAGGGGCATGGGAACCAGAAACTCTTGTCTGAGGATCCTGGGACTGAGCACCAGGATTCCAGAAGTCACAGAAGTGACCAGGGGGGGAAATGTTTTTAAAAAGCATCTCAAGCTATAGGCAGCTCTCCCTCAGACTGTGGTCCTGTCTAGGTCCCTAACCCAAGCCAGTCTCTACTGAGACCTCAGGAGGAATTAGGCCTTATTCCTCAGACCCCTGCAGGAAGAAACAAGAGGCAAGCCCACTTTTTTTCTCCATCCCTCCCTTCCCACCCCCTCCCTCCGGGGAGCTAATTCCAGAACAGATGAGGCTCTCCTCCAGCTCCCATCTCCTAAGTTCCCCCTTGGAGAGATCACAGTGGAAGGGGAGAACGGCCGTAGCTGCAGCCTCTTTGCTTGTGCTGGTCACAACATAACTCACGGAGGCCTTATGTACACACAGAACCCGAAGGGACCACATTATAGGACTTGGGACTCAGAGCCAGAGGGGGCTGTCGAAATGGCAGGGATCCCAGGGGAGTTCTCCTTCAGAGGGACTAGGGCAGGGGTCGCTTCTCATTTGGGATCACTCTTGAGCAGCCTCATCCTCTAGAAACAAACCTTCAGCGTGGCAGCATCTTCCTAAGCTGGCACAACTCTGTGGAGGCCTCTTCAGGGCTGCGGCCCAACCTCAAATCTCAGCATCATCAGAATGCATGCCTGCTCACCAGGCGGCATGGTGGGCCGAGGGACATGGACTCAGCAATGTTCTGGGGTCTTGAAGTTCAGGTTGAACAAGCCCAGCTGGCTAGAGACGTGATGATGGGGGCACGGCCTTCGTGTCTTTCTTGCCTCCCTCAGCCC